GTTTGCATGTATGTATGTATGTATGTATACTTATATATATATATATATATCATATCCGGATCGCACAACTAGCTGCACATATTAAAATTCATCCTGCTTGGTCAATAATTTTCTATACATATGGAACATACCAGACGCTGTTTCTGGAAGAACTCTGCAAGTTTTCGCTTTCTATTGAAGTCATCTGACCGTTGTAGAGTTTGTACCAACTCGTCAAGTTCGGCGTAGCATTTCTGTACAGCGACATTGACCAGGTAAGCTACTTCCACCGACATCACGCCATCAAAAGTCTTCCTATAACTATACCTTCAAGAAGCTTGAAGCGATGGGGACTAAGGAATACTTATAGACCAACACATTACCCGTGTGTAACGTGCCCTGACCTATGTATTGGTGAAATCAACAGCAGTGTGGGGTGTTTAGATTAATACTGATTAGAGTTTTTATGACCACCAGGTCTACAAAACGCAAGAATACTGATGATGTGAAATCCATCCAAAAACCCAATCGACCCTCGCAATTATAAATACAAAAATATTGTATTTATTGAAAAAACGAGAAGAAGAAACATAAAAATATAGTAAAAAGGGTCGCTTCAACTCTCTCGACCTATCATCTCGCCATTATTTATGAATATAGGCGCACTCTAGTCTCTTGCGCTGCGTGCCTGCGTCACCTGCATGTTCGAAAGATTTTTATTTAAAAATAGGCATGATGTGGGATGTTAATTTTAAAAACACATCGCCGTTACAATACAAAGCGGGGAGGCTACCACCTTCGTACAGGAGTATACGACTTTGTGCACCTGCACTTTGGCAATCATTTGTAGAACTCTTTCTTGCATATGACAGATAGGTTGCTCTATAACTGATGTGTGACTTTGAACTTTTTAAAACATATTAAGCTCGGCCTGGGGCAGCTCCGACATAAAGTTCGCACAATAACGACTCAGCGAGTGATCAGACGAAAACCAGAGGACAGGAGTTTTATCCTGAAATATTGTGTTTTGTGCATCGGCGTGGTCTGAAGCAATTGGCACTTCCAGCTCTTATCGTGTATACGTATACTTATACACATGTGTTCGTTTTAATAAATATACTTCATTGCAAATTATAGAGTTTACTTGTGAAGTATTTCTCTGTGTGAATGCGGTCAATTTCTAGATAAACATTGCCCTGATTTATAAAACACTTGATCAAATAGTTAACGTAGAGACAAGATTGTTACAGCGATGCTATGGATACTTAATGATGTGATGGGCTTTTTAACATTCACTGGTCGACAAGTGAAACCTTGTTTAGGTAGTGTAGTCGATTTGTCTGACGTGTTCTATATTGCAGGACTCATTTAGTGGTGGCCGCATTATAAGCAGGAAGCAAAATCGCCTTAAAATGATATACGTCGTTCAGGAAGACGTGCGTGCATATCGTACATCCCTCATGATTTATGGTCAAGATTACACTGTTAACGGACTACATCAATTTAACAATGTTTCGATTTTTCTTCCATGGTATATTCAACGAGCTTGGTATTGCTATCGAGAAGTACATGAATAAGCCATCTTCAGACAGGTAGTCTTTTGTATTTAAATTTTCATATGCCAAAACCCAGAGACTAATAGCTCGCTTGAATCTTAATGATATCCAACAATAAAGCAGCTACACTTCAATAAAGATGAACGGATCGTAAAATGCCGCAACTGGTGACGTGTTGGCGGTATACGCCCACATTGCATACTCTCCAGCATTATTGGTGTGAGTGGACGAGCACTGGTCACCAGTGCAATGACAATCTGCAGCTACAATTGCGAATCCCCCGGGCAAGTGAGTTCCTGTGGGCGATTCAAAGTCTGTCGACATCCCAGATGCTGCTATAAAGACACCGTCGCCAAGAGGACGTCCTCCTCCCATCGCGTTAGCATGGTAAGGTAAGTTTGTGCGCGAGTATGATGTGGGGAAGGTAGTGGTTGCCGACGACTGTGTGGAATTAAGTCCAAACTCGTATACCGCGGATTTTCCCGTCTTGCCCTGTTGGTTCACCAATGTGGTCAATGTTTCTCTCCCATCTGCGTATCGGTGATAAAATACATTGTGTAGACCGGAATAGAAGGGTCCATCATTGACAGCATCGACACCGAAGAAATGTATTCCTATCTGTGTACCATTCTTATCGAAGATACCAGGAGTGCCAAATCGTTGCAGGATCTCGGTATCACCCGCAGTGAACCACGGATTTGAGATTACCACCACCTCCGCCATCCAGCGGTGTGTGAAGGCCAGCAGATGCGCGCCGTTCGCCGTGACAAAGCTCTCGATGCCATTCTCATGCCACTGCTCATTTTGAGTTGTATTTACCATAGCTCGGTCGAATTCTATATCTTCAGTTTGTACGAATTGTATTTTGGTTGTGGTTGCATTGTCGTCGAAGGTGCCTATATCCCGATACATAACTAAACTCTGAAGACCATTGCCAGATTTAAGTACAGAAGCATTATACCCATCATTCAACCCCACCGCTACAATCGCATCTGAAGAGCAATCCAACATGTATGTACTGTTGAACCGGACAACTGACAGTGCATACATCTTCCCATCCTTCTCCATCAGATCGAAGGTGTGAGAAGGATAAGCTGTTTCCCAACCCGCTATTCCGTCAGCCTTGAGAGCGACCTGCACACTTGTCTTCATGTCGATGCTATCTTGCTCGCCTGTTACCTTGTCGAAGCTGCGCATAGTGTCCGCACAGCATCCGGTGTTCGATGTCGGTGTGGACTCAAATACGCGAGCAAAACAGTATAGCTTGCTATCCAACGGACTGATCTTGCATGTTCCCTGCGGTACATAGTTCCCCGATAAAGTTTTATTGAGATCAGGAGGCGTGTACTCATCGAAGTCAAGATTCAGCCATGTTCCGAGTCCATCGACTACTACACTGTCGGAAAGATCTGGATCGGACAAATGCACATCCGATACCGCGGATGCATCTATCGGAAAGTCTAATTGCATCCATTGGAGTGTTCTTCCGCCAACAGCCGGGGCCATAGCGACTAGCTGGCGAAGTAGCGGTGGTTCAACCATTTCCATGGTGGTAGGTGCACATGAAGTAATCTTAAGCACAGTTGCCAAAAGAAGGTAGCTAGCAGTGATTAAACTATTAGTAGCTGCACTCATACTAATGTCTTTGCCTGTTTCAATTTTGTTGTGATCAGTTTTTCTCTCGCAATCGTCGTTTTGTAGCCATATCTTGTGTATTGTAACCATACATAAGTGCGACTCTTTTTGCGAGGGATAGCGTCACGGTACATATTTTGTTCGTTTACTGTTTTTTTTGTTTTACAGTTTTGCATAAATATATATACCCACAACTAAAACCAAAATATTTCAAAATGAAAACGACTTCGGTAACTATCTATTTTTTCTATTAAAAATACTATATATCTTGGTATCATTTGGTTTTTGTTTGTTTTGTAAAAAAATATATATATAAAACGGGGCCGGCTGGACGATTTATTTTAAAAAATAATACACGACAATTCACAATTGATCACTGCTCAGCAGTTTGACTCCAGATTCCGGAGTAGCATAGGAGCTTATAGTTGTAAACCACCAGGCCAATCAAAGATGCATTTTAAATGTTTTGTCGAAAGGTGTTTTTGATTCCAACCAAGTCCTAAACTATGGGCGTACATAGTAAACTTCCAAAGTTACAGTGACTCTTTCTTCCCGACCTACATGCTATTTTAATTAAAAATGGCATGTACTGTATCTGTATTTACATAACCTTCTAGATTAGTCATTTACATACTAACTATTTCACCGGGATATATATATTATTATATACATTTTCATATCAACTCGGGGAACGCCCATTAATTGGGTGAAGGGCCTCTGCTATTTAGCACGTACCTCACCTCTCTCCATAGTGTGGTTCTTGTTAGATGACTTGAATGCTATAACAGGTGTCTGAACCACCTTATCTGCTTTCTCGGATAGATGCTCAAGTTTCAAGTAGTGACATCGTGATAGAAAATGCCTGGCGTCTATCTTATAATATCATCGTGCTATTGTATGCTCCCACTTCTGATCTATAGACTCTGAATTGTACCAACTAGAGTATGCGATATCATCTAGCTATTGGCCTTTCAATTAAATGGGTGCCTTAATTGTATTCAGTCATGCTACAGGCATGCTACCGAAGTCTGCAAGCATATAGTTGGTAAAGCCAGGGCAGGGTCTGGTTGTCAATAACGACGTGACCAATGTATGACGCCAAAACAATCGCTCCTTGCGTAAAATCAGTATCGGGCCTTACCGGTGTAGAAACCCTACTGGTTTACTCAAATTAAAAGCGACCCAAGATGTGAATTCCAACTCGGGAGGTTTTTGTCTTATTACATGCGGCTTGTCTGCGTTGAAACCCTGCTAGCAATATAACTATGTACTATATGTTGAGTGGGCTGAAACGTTCACTTACAAGGAGTGTGATGAACTTCTCCTCCACGCCATCATTTTGTATGACACAATGGAGGCGAAGGACATTGCTCCATCATTCCATGCATCGTGAAGCTCGACATGAATAATGAGTGTACCGAACAGTGGATCAATGAACTACAAACGATTGAATAAATATAAAGACAACACTCCAGCACCCGTTCAAAATAAACGGCTAATGATATACAAAGCACCAATGGGGGATAACATCTCCTACGTATGAGCCCTTTTCTAGGATTCTATTGCAAGGTTTATTACACTAATCTCCCGTGGATTTTAGATAGTCCAGCACAGACCGATCGCCCGTGGCTTTCATTGTCTTAGATACAAACGCACGCGCGGCAGCGTCACGCACGAAGAGACTGTGCATGGATATCAACCCCTCCATGTCCTTGGCTCGCAGTAGTTGAATGACCTGTTGTATTGTCTGTAGTCAAGTTGTGTACATGTTAGAAGTCTAGCTACAGTATAACGGCTATACAAACGTTTCCAGCAGACATGTTTGTAAACATTTCTGGGGGTTAGAGGCACGGATTTGCACTGGTTTAGTGAGTGGTGAGCGCATGGTGCTATGGTATTACGATTTGTTCTGTGGCTTTCGGCTGTGGCTAATTCTGATACCATTCGTCTGTGTGAGAGGCGATGCTGAACCCAAAGTATATGTCAGAAGAAAAGAAGTAAATGGTGAGTACGTACAATAGCGTATCACTCAAGGACGACAATCGTTTAGGAGGTACATCCTATCGATATATATGTATGAAATGACACATTACGAAAGAGAGGTTAAAGGAACAGAGACCCTTCGGGATTCATGCGGAGTGTACTGCACATTGCACATGTATACGCGGTACACAGCACAATTGCATACGGTACACTACTACCAAGTCTACCACAACCATTGCTCTCTCGCATCATTTGAATCGAAGTGTGGTATGCGGAGTGTGAGAGCAGTGTTGGAGACTCTCTGAGACGACATGACATACTTTGATGCGAGGCCGCTGGACGACCTCAATACCCAACCCCTGACCATCCGCATGGAAGAACTCCCACAATTGCTGTGATACCAAGAAGTAGCAGAGTCTGGGGTTAGCTCAGGGCCAGTGAACCGGTGGTAATAATATCAAATCATATACTCTGCTAGAATGCGAGAGATGGTCTAGTGTATATAAAATAAGAGAAACGTTTCAACGGAATAGGGTATGACACTTGTTCAATCGAGCGTTGGCGTATGATCCCGCCTCGCCTGATTGTTTATAGCAGCTAATTAAGGTGTAGTGACTGTGACACCAATATAAGCCTCTCTTCATAATCAACTCTGTGATTGGGTTTCTATATTGGGTTTCTGAGAGCGTTGAAATGTCCTAATTCTGCCCACAACTGTCTCGCAGACGTCCTTTTTATGTTAAAATCAGGACTCGCAATACAATCCTGTACTCAATATTCTGATATCGGGTCCCTTCTGTTACTCATACACCATACTTAGAACGAACCATGCAATGGCCGGGATAGTAGTCACAAACAACCATCCTCCAGGTTTCCCACATACATACACCAACGACAAGTATTATCAGGACCATGGCACTCACCATAACACTCTCCCCCAAGCGAGCAAGCGACAGCTCTGACTTTGCATCGCCCGCCTCTAAGACATCTTCGGCACATTGCAGCACTTGTACCCACATCTCCTCGAGAATCAGGTACACCTGAGGATTCAGGATACAAAGAGCGTATGAAAGAGTGGTACTGAGACACACCTGAGGATTCAGGTTACAAAGAGCGTATGAGAGAGTGGTGCTGGGCAAACAGCTGGACTATTTCGTACTCAAGACATCGCAGTATATAAACAAGTCTTTCAACAACTGATGACTGTGAACTTTAAACAATTGGTGCCGCATCTTCTATCACATACAAAGCGCACCTCGAGAACCGGTACACCTTTGGATAGAGGCTATAATGAATACATGTAAAAAACAGGATAGATGCTCTGAATGCTGGATCTTATATCACATACATAGAGCTCACCTCCGGAATCAGGTACCTCTTTTGATAGAGGATATACAAAAGCCATATATAAACGGATAGAATCAGGTACGCTTCTGGATACAGAATAAACAAAGTACATGCAAAAACCGGATAGATGCTGTGAACGTGTAGGTGATATTAACTTCCGTGGGATTTTTAGTAAGAGCAGTATTTGTTACCTGTATCATCATTTCTATAGCTATTATTTATATCATCATTTCTATAGCTCTTATTTATACCATCATTCCTATGACTATTATCTATATCATCATTTATATAGCTATTATTTATATCATCATTCCTATAACTATTATTTATATCATCATTTCTATAGCTATTACTTATACCATCATTCCTATAACTATTATTTATACCATCATTTCTATAGCTATCATTTATATCATCATTTTTATAGCTATTATTCATACCATCATTCCTATAACTATCATTTATATCATCATTTCTATAGCTATTACTTATACCATGATTCCTATAACTATTATTTATATCATCATTTCTATAGCTATTATTTATATCATCATTTCTATAGCTATTATTTATACCATAATTCCTATAACTATTATTTATATCATTTCTATAGCTATTATTTATACCATCATTCCTATGACTATTATTTATATCATCATTTCTATAGCTATTATTTATACCATCATTCCTATAACTATCATTTATATCATCATTTCTATAGCTACGGGTGATTATGGAGGACAAGGCAACGGCAGCGTATTATATTTGTGAAGTATGTTCTTGAGCACGGGCTGATGAATTTTTCGTCGCGACTGAGGTCTATTTTTAGACTCAAGCAAGAATATAGGACATGTACGTAGTCATATACAATATTTCTGGGTGTATAAAAAGATACCTACAAGGTGAAAGGGCGGTTGCGAAGTATTTAACACCACCACAGCAGATGATTGATGGGTCATAGAGTAGGAAGTTACTATACCACCCAACCATCTTCAACCACAGAAGAGAGATACACCGTAGCAAGGAATAGATGCCCAGAGTACAATCACTGTATACATTTACTAACACCTACCACGTGTGTGCAGAACCGTGTAATTATGAAGTACATAACATCACCACAGCAGATGATTGATGGGTCATAGAGTAGGAAGTTACTATACTATTCAACCTATCCCACCAGCACTGAGACAGAAATAGAACACAATCAGGAATAGATGACACAGTTCGGTACAACTATCCACTATCGAATTGACTGTACATTGACCGCATGCACTTAACAATACCTACCGCGTGCGGGTATAGCCGGGTGGCGGCACACGACATGACATCGTCGAAGTAGGCGAGTGTCGGAGCCATATCCTCAGCTACTTCTGCACTTAAGGGCGTGCTTGTGGTGGCTTTGCGTTGCCATGGTAACGAAGACGTGCGTACCATAATCATACCATCTGGCCCCGATAAAATTGGACGAGGTTTCGAGATAAGGTTATGCCGAAAGAGGACGTTTTGGGAATGCAAATCCCGAATCTGTCAACAAAAACTAATATTTCAAAGCAAACATGTGGTTATATGTGTAAGGTTATGGACGTATATTAACCCCCTCACCACAGCAGCTTACCAAGCCACTATGAACACGTATCACCCAATTTTCAGCCCCAAATCTCTCACCCCTAAAAAAAACTGACCTGATTTGGACAGATCTGGGGTGGAGCCGCTGGAGCTGCCAAAGCTGAAGAGATTTTTAACGGACGAGAAGAAACTGTCCTTGTTTATTATGTGCTGAATGATCTGACGGATTGGTTTGACTATCCTAGACCCCATCATCCTTATATTGCCCACCAAACACAGCGCCACCATGCGGGATGTCTAAAGCGAGCACGATTTAACGTCAAAAGTGTGGAATTTATCGTTAAAAGTATGAAATTTATCGTTCAAGATGCGGAATTTTAACGGTAAAAATTTGGAATTTAACGTTAAAATGGCAAATTTTGGCGCTACAATAGGAAGGGGGGGGAAATGGGGTACGATCCGTAAAATGAATACAACAAGAGTGCAAGCTCCACCTCCTTTATATTCACTTCTTGTCTATATACTTTACCTTGCCTGCTCATAGCTTTGACATAGTACCTGCTGAGAGTATATCAATATAATAATTGTCAATAGGAAATGTACCGCCAATATCCTGGCGGAAACGACGGAGGGCGATGAAGCACTGACATTCCATACAACATATATATATATATATATATATATATATATATATATATATATATATATATAA